CACAAAAAAAAATCCCATCAATAGAAACAATTTTTAAAAACCAATTGAGTAATTTCCATGCATCAAAAATATTTGAAAAAATGAAAATAATATCTTGGTATTTACTTACCTTCTTATTCTATAAGAGAAAATAAAACTAATGGAGCAAAATAATGGATGCCCTTGATTTCATTTCAGTATTCATACATGTGGTTATATCCATATTTAAGTCAAAGGGTGCAATATTTTAGAACAGGTCTCATTGATTAGATGATTGGTGCCATTGCAGGCCCAGAGCTTAATGGAACGGCAAAATTGAGTGGGAGGAAGGAACAGATAAATGAGGAGAACAAAAGGGTACTTACAGTGGGGGTATAAGGTTGTGTGTTCCCTACCCTAGTTATCTTTTCATTGTGGAAAAATATGTAACATAAAACTAACCATTTTACCCATTTTACGTGTATAATAAAGAAGCATTAAGTACATTTGTGTTGTTGTACAACCATTATCACTATTTCCAGAACTTTGTCATTATCCCAAACAGAAACTCTAAACCTATTAAGCAATAGCTCCTTATACCCTTCTACCCCCAGCTTCCGGTAACCTCAATTCTACTTTTTGTCTCTAAAAATTTGCCTATTGTTGATACTTCATATCAGTGGAATCATACAATATTTGTTCTTTTATATCTATTTTGTTTTACTAAGTGAAATATTTGCAGGGTTTATCTATGTTATGACATGTGTCAAAACTTCATTCCTTTATGACTAAGATTCCATTGTATGTACATACTACATTTTATCAATACTTCTGCTGATAGACAGATGGGTTGTTTCTACCTTCTGGATATTGAATAATGATGCTGTGAACATTTGTGTACAGTATCTGTTTGAGTTCCTGGTTTTAGTTTTTTTGTGTGCATACCTAGGTATATTAGAGTTTTCCAAAGAAACAGAACCAATAGAGTGTGTGCGTGTGTGTGTGTGTGCACACGCGCGTGCGTGTGTACATAAAGAGATTTATTATGAGGAGGTGGCTCACTGCATTATGGAAGCTGAGAAGTCTCATGATCTGCCATTTGTAAGCCGGAGACCCAGGAAAGCCAGTGGTGTAAATCTGGTCCAAGTCCTCAGTCGGAGGGCTTGAGAACCATGAGAGCTCACGGTGTAAATCCTAGTCCAAGGACAGGAGAAGATCAATGTCCCAGCTCAAACAGGCAGACAGGAAGCAAAAGGATGAATTCCTCCTTCTTCTGCTGTTTTGTTCTGTTCAGGCCCCCAAATGATTGGCTGATTCTCACCTATACTGGGGAGGGGGCAATCAACATTACTGAGTCTACCAATTAAAATGCTAATCTCATCCTGAAACACCCTCACAGACATACCCAGAAATAATGTTTAATCTGGGCACATCTTTGCCCACTCAAGTTGACACATAACCATCATATTAGGGGTGGAATTTTGGAGTCGTATGTTAATTCTGTGTTGATTTTCTGAGGAACCACCAAATTGTTTTCTATGGGGACTGCATCATTTTACATTCCCCCCAGTAATGTACAAGCGTTCCTGTTTTTCCACATCCTCACTAACACGAGTTATATTCCACTGTTTTGAAAATACCCATTCTTCTGGGTGTGAGAGAGTATTTTATTGAGGATGCTATTGTAAGCTGAATAGTTTTACTAATTTCTTTTATAGACTGTTCATTGCGAGTGCATAGAAATGCAAACTGATTTTTGCACGTTGATTGTGTACCTTCAATTTTGTTGAATTCATTTATTAGCTCCATCAGTTTTTTGCGGATGATTTAGTGTTTCCTACATATAAGATCATGTCATCTGTGAGCAGAAATACTTTTACTTCTTTCTTCCCTAATTACATGTCTTTTTGTTTCTTTTTTGCCAATTGCTCTTGATCATGGTGTATACTCCTTTTATTATGCTGCTGAATTCAGTTCGCTAGTAGTTTTTGGAGGAATTTTACATTTGTATTAATAAGGTATATTGGCCTAGAGTTGTTTTTTTTTTTTTTTTGTAGTATATTCTACCAACCTCCTTATCAGGGTAATGATGGCTGCATAGAAAGAGATAGGAAGTTTTCCCATCTTCATTTTTTGGGTAAAGTTGAGAAGAATTGGTATACATTCTTGTTTAAATATTGGTAGAATTCATCAGTGAAGCTATTGGGTCCTATGCATTTCTTCATGTGGAGGTTTCTGATTACTGATTCAATCTACTTACTTGTTATAGATCTATTCAGATTTTCTATTTCTTCTTGTGTCCATTTTAGTAGTTTTTTTTTATTTCTAGGAACTAGTCCATTTCTTCTAGGTTATTCAAATTTTTGGTAAATGTTCATAATTTTCTCTTATAATTTTTTCTTTTTATGAAATCAGTAGTAATGTCCACTTTTATTTCTGATTTTAATTACTAGAGTTTTCTCTTTTTCTTAAACTCATCAATCTAGCTAGAGGTTTGTGATTTGTTTTTTGTTTTGTTTTGTTTTGTTTTGTTTTGATCTTTTCAAAGAACTAACTTGATATTGCTTGGCTATGTCCTGACCCAAATCTCAACTTGAATTGTATCTTCCAGAATTACCACATGTGGGAGGGACCCAAGGGGAGGTAATTGAATTATAGGGGCCAGTCTTTCCCGTGCTATTCTCGTGATAGTGAATAAGTCTCATGAGATCTGATGGGTTTATCAGGGGTTTCTGCTTTTGCTTCTTCCTCATTTTCCCTTGCCACTGCCATATAAGAAGTGCCTTTCGCCTCTCACCATGATTCTAAGGCCTCCCCAGTCATGTGTAACTGTAAATCCAATTAAACCTTTTTTTTTTTTTTTTTTTTTGAGACGGAGTATTGCTCTGTTGCTCAGGCTGGAGTGCAGTGGCATGATTTTGACTCATTACAACTTCCGCCTCCCAGGTTCAAGCGATTCTCCCACCTCAGCCTCCCGAGTAGCTGAGATTACAGGCACCCACCATCTTGCTCGGCTAATTTTTGTATTTTTGTAGAGATGGGGTTTCACCATGTTGGCCAAGCTGGTCTTGAACTCCTGACCCCAGGTGATCCACCTGCCTTGGCCTCCCAAAGTGCTGGGATTACAGGTGTGAGCCACTGCGCCTGTCCTTAAACCTCTTTTTCTTCCAGGCTCAGGTATGTCTTAATCAGTAGCATGAAAACGGACTAATATACAACTTTTGACTTGGTTTCATTAATTTTCTCTATTGGTTTAAAGTTTTCTTTTTCTTTTCTTTTCTGGGTTTTTTTTTTTTTTTTTTTTTTTTTTTTTTTTGTCTTTTTGCTTTTTTGTCTTCTCTTTTTGAGACAGGGTCTCACTTTGTTGCCCAGGCTGGAGTGCAGTGTTACAATCACAGCTCACTGCAACTTCAACCTCCTTTGCTCAAGTGATCCTCCCAAGTAGCTGGGACCACAGGCATGAGCCACCAGGCCTGGCTAATTTTTGTATTTTTTGTAGAGACAGGGTTTTGCCATGTTTCCCAGTCTGGTCTTGAACTCCTAAGATCAAGGGATCCACCTGCCTCAGCCTCCCAAAGTGCTGAGATTACAGGCATGAGCCAGCACACCTGGCAGGTTTTAAATTTTCTATCTTGTTTTTCTCTAATCTTTGTTTCCTTCCTGCTATTAGCTTTAGCTTTAGTTTGCTCCTCTTTTTCTAGTTCCTTAAGATGTACAGTTTATTGTTTTGAAGTCTTTTTTTTTTTTTTTAATGTAGGCATGTACTGCTATAATGTTCCCTCTTAGCACTGCTTTCACTGCATTCCGTGTGTTTTGATATGTTGTATTTGTAGTTTCATTCCTCTCAAGGTATTTTCTAGTTTTCCTTGTGGTTCTTTCTTTGACCCATTGGTCGCTTAAAATTTTATTTATTAATTTCTGCATAACTGAGGATTTTCCACTTTTCCTTCTGTTATTCCTTTCTAGTTTCATTCACTTGTGATCGCAAAGCTATTTTGTATGATATTAATTTTTTTTAATGTATTAGGACTTGTTTTGTGGCCTGACATGATTATCCTGGAAAATGTTTTATGTGCACTTGAGAATAATGTACATTTTGCTTTTGTTAGCTGGGGTGTTTTGTGTAAGGCTGGGAGGCTTATAAACAACAGAAATTTATTTCTCACTATCTTGGAGGCTGGAGGTCCAAGTTCAGGATGTCAACATAGTTGGGCCCTCTTCTGGGTTGCAGACTGCTAACTTCTCATTGCATGCTTCCATTGTGGGAAGAGAGCAAGCTAGTTCTCTGGCCTCTTCTTAACAGGGAACTAATCGTACTTGTGAGGGCTCCACTCTTATGACCTAACTGCCCCTCAAAGGCGCTGCCTTTAAGAATAATCACGTTGAGAATTAGATTTCAGCATAAGGATTTTGGAGGGACACAAACATTCACTTCATAAGAGTCATCAAATTTGAGCATGCATCAGACTTCATCACTTTTGCTTGATTCTCCATTAAAAGTAGGAATGCATTGTGTACTTAAATATAGACATTGTAGGTAATGGGAGATGTTGTACAAACCAAGTGTAATTTATAAAATTGAAGATGATTCCAGGTTTTGAAAAATTATGAATAGTAGAGTTGATCCTTTCTTTTTTAGTATTATTGTATATAAGCAAATTCTACATAGTATTTTTCTGTTTTCAGTTTAGATTGACTAATTATTATGACTGGAAATAAAGCTTAAAAATTATTCTATATGTTTAAGTCCCAGAAGTTTACTCAATTTTGGAATACCATTTATTCTTACATGATCTTTTATTCAATATGTATATGCTATATTGTACAAAAACCAAACAAGTTTATACATTTTATTCACAATTTATTGTAGTTCATTTTTAGGTTAAATTTTGGAGGGGTGGGGAAGGGCTGATACTCTGGTACCATAACAGAACCATAATCAGAAATTTCCTGTCCTAATTAGTCACTTTCATAATTGTTAATGCATGTTTAAAAATTCTAATACTAAAACACTAAACTTTTATACTTTTATTTCTTTTTAGAACCTTGTGAAACATCTTCCTGAGCAGAAGACACTCAATGAATTAGCAGAGCTTAAGAATGAATATGATGACCTCTGTGAGCCTGAACAATTTGGAGTTGTGGTATGTATCCAACGTGAGGGACCACAAACTCGGCTGGGAGGTTAACACTTGCCAGAAACAGTGAAAAGAAAGACATTTCAGTTGTCAATTATTTTTTCATTACTGTATTGCTATATAATTTAATATAATATTGGCTGTCAGAAAAAAATCCTTTTTCACCTATTATTATTTGTCATGGCATTGAAAAATAATAAAATATTCACATTCATAAAGTACTTCAAAATATCTCAGGGGATCTTTTGTATAACAGTGCCAATTTTTAATTCTATTAATATATGCAAACAGTATACATTATTATTATGTGGACTATTTTTACTTCCATTTAGATCTTAATGTTAGAATTTGACCACCCAAAAATAGGTTAAAATAAAAGGATATTTACTAGATAATTAGCCAAGTAATAGAGACTCTTTTTCTAGGGTATATATCGTGTCAGAAAAAGTACAAGGATTTTCAGATTTCATATAGTGTCATTAATTGCTTTAAAGCTTGAAACGTACTGTTTTAGTTGGGAAGAAAATCTTATACATCATGTCTTGAAATCATCATGTAGTTAAATTATTATTGGAATGAATTATTTTTTCTTATCCCACCCTTCATATTAAGGGGTACAAAAGAGGAATAAGTATAAATTTTGAATTCAAGATTATAGTTATATTTTAAGTATTCCCCAAACTGACTATTCAAATAGTTGACAAAAAAACAAAAACAAAAACAAAAAGTGGCAGGAAAAGAGGGCACTATGATTTATTTAATTTCTTGGAGAAAAAGCTATTTTTTACTTAAGTGTTCAGTGCAAGTTTGTTTGCCGTATGAATAAATAGCTCCATTATGGTCACTAACTGTACCCTGGCTCCCTGAACATTTTCCATTTGCATACTAAGAATTTTAAAATTACCATTGGACCTAATAGTCAAACATTTTCAGCCTTATCCAAAATATTCTGTAAACTTTTAAATAGTATAGTATGTTAGAATTGATCTAATTTGATACCTTGCAGTTTAAAAATTGTGTTTAAAGTCAAACTGTGCTAGATGGGACTGAGCATGTTCCTTTTGAACATGTGCAATAAATGTTCACCCATATTTAGAGTTTATTAATTTTGAGACATGGCATTGACTACACTTATGTAGAAGGATTCCGTCAAATTCTTGCAAAGAAAATCAGGAATGTATATTTGGGATCAGATAGAGCATATAATGGTATCTGAGAAAGGTATTTATTTCTCTTATTTTTGAACAAGGTGAATTACCTAAATTCTAAATTTGATAGATATCATTTGTTAACTAAAAGCAATTTAGCACAATATTGAGTAATACAATTATTTAGACCAAAGTCCACATTGGAAGCCTGAGCTGCTTGGATTCATATTATAATTGAAGCAAGGCTATATACCCTCTGAGAATTCAGCTGTGTCATGATGGTTATGAGTTTTACAGTAGGTATACTACACAATTTCTCTGAAGTCATTTTTTTTTTTTCTGAATGCGGTTTATCTTGGAAGATGTATTAGTTTGCCAAGCAAGTCCTTTCAAGAGGCATATCCTTGGTACCACACTGAGGAAATGAAGTTTGGGGACATAAAAAGCAATATACCTTCTGAACTAAAAGCAAAATAGAAAATGGAAGAGATTTCTTGTTTATGCACATAACCATAAATAATTCTGAGGCTGCATGTACATGAAGTAACCTAGTCCCCTTATTTACTCTCACCATTCTTAGCTACATGTCTGTGGGGGGTAAAAAGTCAAGGACATTACAAACTAGTTTACACCATGTAAGTTACCTAAGATAGTATCAGTCAGGATTTGCCCAATAAAGTTTAGCTGCATTCACATCAAGGAAATATTTTTTAAACAATGATATACTTTAGTCTTTTAAACGTGTACTTTTCAGTGTTTAGAACAATATTATGTATAAAATAGACAGTAAATAAATGTTTATGGAATTGAATTACAGGACAATTATTAAGCCCAAGTCTGAGCCTGAAATTAGAAAGTAGTATAATTTAAATCTGTAACAATAGAAATTCTGCTAAAACGTATTTCTCTAGGTGTATGCTGAAATTCAATTCACTTCTGTGTGTATACATCCAAACACTTTTTAACCTTTAAACATATATCAACAGCCTAATGTGAGGACAATTTTGGAAATTGTTTAATGAAATCATCTGCAGTAATGAGAGAGGCTCCAAACTGGAAAGGCTCATTGCCTCTGCTCACTTCTCTTGTTAACATTATTAGTGTATTTATCACATGATTTCTATATGGAAAAGCTCCAGTATCTCCCTGAATTTACAGAATGAAATCCAAGCTCCTTCACATTCTCACTGTACTTCTGACTGTCTTGCTTTCTTCCTTTCTGTTCCCTTTGGTGAAGTGAGTCAATTGGTATCTTTTTGACATTTTAGCCTTTACCTCAATCAGACTCTCACTGCCGTTTTAACAGTTATTTCACTCGCTCCCTATTCTGCGTCCTTTCATTTTTCCATAGTGGCCATACCATACTTTTCCTTCTCTCCTCAAGTCTTCTGTCTCCTCCCCATTCTTTTAACTTACCACGAACATCCTAACCTGTTACTTGCCAGAGAATAAAGAAAGCACTTTGACTTCAGAACCTCCAATATCTCTTCTACCTACAAAGTTTTCTGTAGCTATCTATCTTTTACTTACTCATTCTGTGTCAAACCTCAGAAAAACAGGAGCTCAATTATCATTAACATTATTGCTGTTGCTATTAGTATGGATAGAAACAAAATAAATATTGAGGACTTAACTTGTCAGATTCTATGAGAAGCATTTTTACTTCCACCAACTTATGTATTTCTCACGACAACCCTGCGAGTTTGGCACTATTAATGGCTCCATATTAAGGATGAGGATACCGGGTGCGTTGGTTCATGTCTGTAATCCCAGCAGTTTGGGAGGCCGAGGCGGGAGGATCACCTGAGTTCAGGAGTTCAAGACCAGCCTGGCCAAGATGGTGAAACCTCATCTCTACTAAAAATACACAAATTGGCCAGGCGCAGTGGCTCACGCCTGTAATCCCAGCACTTTGGGAGGCTGAGGTGGGCAGATCACCTGAGGTCAGGAGTTCAAGACCAGCCTGGCTAACATGGTGAAACTCCATCTCTACTAAAAATGCAAAAATTAGCTGGGTGTGGTGGCGGGTGCCTGCACTCCCAGCTACTTGGGAGGCTGAGGCAGGATAATGGCATGAACTCGGGAGGCGGAGCTTGCAGTGAGCCAAGATAGCACCACTGCACTCCAGCCTGGGCAACAGAATGAGACTCTGTCTAAAATAAATAAATAAATGCAAAAATGAGCTGGGCATGGTGGCACATGCCTGTAATCCCAGCTACACAAGAGGCTGAGGCAGGAGAATTGCTTGAATCTGGGAGGCGGAGGTTGCAGTGAGCTGACATCAGGCCCCTGCACTCCAGCCTGGGCCACAGAGCAAGACCCTGTCTCAAAAAAAAAAAAAAAAAAAAAAAAAAAAGGGAGGAGGAAACTGGGCCCAAGGAAACTTAGTTTACTTGTCCAAGGTCACATAGTAACTAGTAGTCACAGAATTCAAATGATTCAAATGGTAGCAGTCTGTATTTGTAGCCAGTGCTTTAGCCACTGTGCTCCTGGGTTGTGAGTATGTGAGTGTGTATGTGATGCTCTACTACATGCTAATCTTCTCACTTCAGTTTTGGGCATTGTTATGCACTGCCTACTTTAGGCAGTAGTATCTCTTATTTGCTTTCCTTCTGTTAGTTATTTTATTACTTCCTCAATTTGTCAGTTTCCACTCTGCTCTGCTCTTCAGAAAAAAAGAAAATCTTCAGTCATTTGCTGCCTGGAAAGGAGTGGATAGATGGGTGGATGGATGAATAAAAATCCTTCCTGACTGAGGTTTCTGCTTGCTACTGCCTTCTCTCCATTTCCTAGCATCAGTTTTTTTCAAAGATCAGTCTCCTTTTTCTCTCTCCTTCCTTAACTCTCATTCACTGTTCAACCAATGGTGATCAGAATTCTGCCTTAAATAATGCATTGAAATTGAACTAGGAAAGGTCCTTAAATCCTGTTCACATCCAAAATGCACATCGAGTATACTCACTTCTCTTTGTCTCCATCACCACCATCTTAGCCCAAGCCAGAATCATCATTGCAATTAACCATCACAATATACATTTATCTTGTTTTTCCCACTACCACTTTTGCCCTTCTCCAAATCCGTCTCGGCACAACTTTAGTATGATGTTTCTAGAGTGTTTCTGTATTGCATCATAATTTTTATCTGCTTAAAATACTAGTGCTGTTCTATAGCACTAAAGCTAAAGCGTTAACACTTTACCATGACCTAGAATACACTATCTGGTCTGGCACCTGCCCGCCTCTCCTACTTTTATCACTTGCTATTTGGCCTCTTGCTCATTATGCCTCAGCCACATTTTATTTTTGAACTTACCATGTTCTTTCCTGCTCAGGACCATTGCACATGCTGCTCTTTTACTCCCGCTTGTTGCCTCCCTCTCTTGTTTATACTTCAAGTCATAGCTTAATTTTTGCTTTCCCAGTGGTACCTTCATTTGCCTTTCAGTCAGAAATACATCTCCCTACTAAACTCTCCCAGATTACCTTTTTTATTTTCCTTTCTAGAAATTATCATGAATTTTAATTAAATGTTTATTTATGAGGTTACTTCTTGACTGTCTATAATCCCAACTATATTACAAGTTCTATAAATGGATGAATCATGTTGATTTTATTCACATGTGCTTAACAAATATTTCTTGAATGTATTTGCATGAATGGAAAATCAAGTGGACTCTTTCAGTCCTATCTTATTCTGTATCTATGTGGCATTTGATAACATAAAAGAATTTAAGCTCCTTTTCGAAAACTTTCCTCTCCTTCTTAAACAATAAATAGTATTTCCTGATTTTTTTTTTTTTTTTTTTTTTAAGAGGCAGGTTCTCTCTCTGTCCACCAGGGTGGAGTGCAGTGGTGAGA